GGTCTGTTTTTATTTAAATTATTTGCTCTGGATTTACATTGAGCTCTTTGGATTTTATCCTCCTTGGGTCTACCCATATGGATTACCTAGTTTTTCCATAAATATATATATATATATATATATATATATATATATATATATATATATATATATATAATAGCTAACCTACCAGTCTACTAGGGAGGCTAGCCAATCACTATTGCAGTTTAAGTGTGCCATTGCGAGCGTCTGCAATAGGGATTGGCCCACAGAACCAACCTGTGATTTATACTGCAACTATGCTGAGCAGACCTTTGTGTGGCACCATTTACGAGGCAGAGAAAGAAAGAGAAAGAAAAGAAGGCAGAAAGAAATGCGAGACGGATCATAGGTGATAAGCGAACACACACACGGCTAAGAGGCAATAAAAAATGGGTTATTTTGATAAGTGGCAAATAGCGAAAGAGTGTCATTACAATGACAATGAGATTTGAGTGGGTAGGGAAGTGTTATCTAAGGATATGAAAACAAACTATTGGTACGGGAAGGCATCTTATTATCAACACAGACCACCGGCCAAGGGAAAAATTCAAGTGAAAATGTTATTTCGATAAGTGACGAAAAGAAACAGGCGACTAAAAAAGACTTTAGACAGATATGAAAATTAAAGGCCACCTACGAGTAATCGTTGACCGATTTTCCTACTTGGTCTGCGCGAATGGAATTGTGTTATCAAGAAATGTTCGCCAAAGAAAGTCCACTTGAAAACGTTAATTTTGATAATTGACAAAACACAGGTGTAGCTACAGAGCCTTAGTTAGATATGGAAAATTAAAATCCCACACAAGCAGTCTCGCTAACTAAATCCTTTTCGACAAAACAACTTTTGCCGGCGATAATAAATTTATGTTATCAGGAATATGTGCCGAAGGAAAATGGGTGGGGACACAGGGGTGTTTTTCTTTCTTCCTTGGAGACGTCAGACTGACTGAAAACTTGGGGATAATTCTTTTATGAGGCCATGTTAAGAATACTAACCATCTTGATAAATTAGCGATAAAATACCTGACGTAAGCCACGTGTAGAACAAGAATTATGACCCCATTGTTCATATTTTCCCGTTGGTGGCCAGAGAAATGATACGGCGATTAAGGAAGAAAAGGAAAAGCAAAAGATAATTTTTTTTTAGTTAAGCAAGATATTTTTTTTTCCGAAACAAAGCCGCGGATTGTTCACGCCCGACTAAGACATCATTGGTCAAGTGGTGATCACGTGACGCACGAAGGAGGAGGAAAGATACCCGACCAAGACCTCATTGGCCGAGAGTGATCACGTGACGCACGAAGAAGGCTGTCGACGCCCCCATCCAGAGTGTAAGTATGAGAAGCTGCTATGAAGAAGTGGGGAGGGCAGTTCACGCCCTCAGAAGTATGGTGAGAAAGTGGGAGTGAAAAAAGTTACCAAAATGGAAAAGAGTGGAAAATCCCTAACCAGAAATAAAGGAGGTGGATATGTATTTAGAATTATCGAGGAAGTCCCCGACGCCAACAGACCCACCCCGGTTTTGGTCGGCGTCAATAAAAGCCAGGCCCCAACAGGCAGAAATCAGTTCGGGACCTGGCGGCAGAGATGATAGACCAAGATAGCTGACCAAGATTCACGCAAAATTCCGGACTCCTCTTCAACCAAGAACAATTATTTTGAAGAGCGACTTAGAACCAGACCACCGACATAAGTTTTTCGACTTTCGTCCAAAGACACACCGAAACACAAATTTCTTAGAGAGCAAACAACTTGAATCGTTAAAACTTGCCTAGCGAAAACGACGAGTCACAATCCACAGAACGGGTTGGGAGATAGATGCAGTCCTATGTATCGAACAACTAGACATAAAGTTTGTTACCTTTTTCTTTGATACTTTGAAATTTTTGAGTTTTCATTTTATTTTCTTTTATGCATATTTGTGTGTTATCACCCCCGTTGAACTCAATTTGCATTACGGCCCCAACCACTGTTTGATCTCGTCTGTCAATTCACAACGTGGGTAGGCAGACTGGAGATCAGTGCAGTTACCTTGGTAACCAGGCGTTGGAAGCGAGTTGGGAACGGCCAGGCTGATATCAAATCTAACCAGATTCACATCCGAATCACCAAAAGGTTAGAACGTCACATTTGGGGTGCCGCGACCGATACCAAGCCAGTTGGTCGTCACAGGACGAGACAACACGACTGACGCGACAAGCCGCGTTTGGAGCAACGACACCCGGACGGAGCAGCGAGGAGAGAACAGCAGGCGCCGCGGCGAAGACGTCACAAGTGGTGCTGTTTGAGGACGTCACAACTGGCGCCGTGGTAGAGCAGGATAGAACGTCACAGTTGGCGCTGCGACCGGGGGACGACATCACATTTGTTACTGTTTCGGGGAATGAACGTGTTATCTAACGTGATCAACAATTTGAACAACGCCAGCACACTGAAACCCTAGGTCACAATGACTTGTGACTTCGTGCCAGCACAGCTATCGATGGCCCCCAAAGTATTCCATCTACCTAATTTCACTCATAAGTTTTGGGTCAACCCGTAGTATGGTTTTTCAGTCACTTTTTCCGCACGCTGGCATCGTTCAGCTACAGACTGATGACGTCAAGAGATCTTCTTCCTGACTAATCAACCGTGGTGAAAATCGAACGTTGTAACGCGTCCATATATCCATATATATATATATATATATATATATATATATATATATATATATATTTAAAGATATGTTTAGTGGTACAAAACATTATCTCTACCATAAACAGACAAAAATTAATTTTATTATTACCCCTCATGATGAAAATATAAAGTAAAAATGAAATCATTAAAGCCTTCTCTATGTAAACAGAAGGACATTGTATTAGGCCTCCAACTAATTACCATCTAATTTTTTTTACACAATACACTTTGTCCATTTTTCTTTTTTAAATAATTTACTCTATTTACCCTCGATTTACCTCTGTTGAGCGAGGTTCGAAACCGGTTAGCTAGCGCGTTTTTCATTTTTACTTTTTATTATCATCATGGTGGCAATAATAAAATTAATTTTGTCTGTTGATGTGTACACACACACACACACACACACACATATATATATATATATATATATATATATATATATATATATATGTCAACGTCGGACTTTTCGGTCTAATAAACCATCTTCGGGACATATTCATAAAATATAATTAACATTATCAATTGAACATGACAATATATATATATGAAGATGTTTTATTAGACCGAAACGTCCGACATTAACATTAAAACAGCATAATTGTATATAAGGACTTTTGTTTCTTTTTTCCGTATATTTTTCTTCATACTGTCGGATCTATATCCATATATTTGCTTGCATATATATATATATATAATGTATGTATATGGGTATATTTATATACGTGATGTATATATATCTATGTGCGTGTATATATATATATATATATATATATATATATATATATATATATATATATATATATATATATACAGTGGGGGGAAATAAATATTCGTACACATGAAAAATTGTATGTAAAAGCCTTAAATAAAACAAATGTCTAATAATTCATTTGTACGAATACTTTTTTCATCAGTTAAAATGAAAAAAATGCATTAATTTCTGTTATAATAAGAATTAATTAATTTATTACTATTTTTTAATAAAATATATCTTTACACATAAAATGTATCAAAATTTGTTTTAGTTAAGGCTTTTACATTTATAAAAATACAGTTTTTCATGTGTACGAATATTTATCCCCCCCACTGTATATATATGCGTATGTACATGGTTGGTCAGGCGAATGAGTCTGTGTATATATGCAGATGTAGATGTATGTGATTCTGTATGTGTATGTATATGGGATACATATACATATATGCGTATGTATATATGAACACGCATAAATGAGTTAATATTTGAAAGAAAGTCTCTGGAAGCCATACTTCACTATCCGAGCCCAACTTCGAATTTTTGTGTTACACTTTCCTTCGCTTCTCAGATTTATACTTTATTTATCTGTGAAGAAATTGAAAAATTAAAAAAAAAATTAGTTCCATTTCCTCTTCAAGCTAATATTGAGACTTCAATATTCGCTTGAAGATGAAATGGTATTTAATGTTTTAATTTAATTACAAAATTAAATTTGAAGGTTTTAGCTTCTGTTTTTTAAACATAGTTATTACTGTGTAGTAATTACAAAAAAAAAACATATTTTAAACAAGTTAATTTTATATATATATATATATATATATATATATATATATATATATATATATATATTGGGGTGGCAATCTGAGGGACAGTGTAGAGGATTCGGAAAGAGTTGGTTGGGTCTAAAGATAATGACAAAAGTGTTTGGGTTGATCACTAATGATAGGGACGTTATGACTTCATTCATCTACCCACAGAGTGTCAGAAAATACGGAGGCCTACACCAAGTTCCTTGAGGAGGTAGTGTTGCCCTGAATCAATAGGGCGGCTGTTGAAAGAACCTATGTCTGTAAACAGGACTCTACACCATGTCACACAAGCAGTGTACCCAGTCATGTCTGTCAGTCAATTTCTGAGACGACATCACCCCATACATCTGGCCACCTAACTCACCATACTGCAACCCTCTTGATTATTATGTGTGGAGCGCAGTTGAACGAGAGGCAAAGAAAAATCCTTGTAACACCAAAGATGAACTGAAGGCAAGGCCTATGGTAGCATTCACCAAGTTAAACAGGGAGACCGTCCAGAAGATTCCGAAGTTGTCTGGAGGACGCTTTGGAAGCCAATAACGATGTTATTGAATAAATTTGCTATTTAGTATTTCAAGTTATTTTTGTGTAACTTTGGTAAATATATCTGTTAAAATGAGACGTCAGGGTTATTTTCATTTTTGCGTAATTTAGACGACAATTTATCCATCGCAGACTGCATATATCTCTATGTGTGTGTGATGTATAAGCATAAAGGAAAATATATCTGTGCAAAC